TCATGATTTTTTTAATTTTAAAACTTTTGAATATATTTTAACTTTGTCTATGGTAAAGAATGTATTTTAACTTTGTTAAACTAATAAACTTTTGTGTAGAAAAAAATTCAAAACATAGCTATAAAATAAATAAGAAATTAAAAAAATGATAATTTAGGCCTTTGATTGATAATTTTCAATCTTTTGAATCGAAATGACAATTTTTAAATTGTATTTTGACAAAAAAAAATTGATAATTTTTTGTACATTGATAATCAATATGACATTTTTATTACTAATCGAAATGACATTTTAATTGTATTTTAAAACGAGTCTGTTGGGGATAATTGGTCCGGTGAGAAGTCGGTCCAATACCCCATAAGGAGAAAGGTTCGAGAACCCAAAGGCCCAAGTGACGCTCGGCTCAGCCCGGGCGGCACACGCCGGGACGCTTGGCACACATCCTATTGCTTTACCTCGTTGGGTGAGTAAGAAAGGATAGCCTCGATCAGTGGGAGCGCTCGGCATACACCGTGCGGCACCATGACCTTGTCTTGATTGGGGTCAGTAAGCATGAAGACCTCAGTTTGGGGCGGTCAACAAAATTGGCGGGAAAGCAAGTATATTGCTGGGAAACACATTTAATGCACCAGATACACAAGATTTGGTGGTTGGAGGATTAGTCATTCGTGATCCTCCACATCACCATCACCACCCACCCCATGGTAGTACAAATAATAATCAGTAGCATTTATTTCATTGTTAAGTGTTGGTCACTTGTACTCACTTGTGTTAGCTTCTAATCTCATGTATCAACAGCTTAGACTAGACGCTTGGTCTTGGTCTCAGTAGGTTGTGTTGGAATCACTCTCAAGAGTTTAATTAGAACTCGGTCCACTTATTGTCTCCCTCTTTAATTGCTAAGTATTTGTGCCTTTTCAATCATATAACTCACTAAAATATTCATCGAAACCCAAGGGGACGTGTTGGGCCCTTGAAGTTGGAGGATTAAACCTCAATATAGGCGCCGTCTGTGGGTAGGGGTGGATCGGAGAAACTGAAAACCGAAAACCGAAAACCGAAAACCGAATCGAAAAAACCCGAATCGCAACCAAAACAAGGGTTTTTTACGAGAATATTACTAAAATAAAACTTATTTACATAAATATGATTATTCATTACTACAACGTAGTGCTGTGGTAACTAAAGTTCAAAACTTGAACATGAATTACTATGATTTCATTACTACTCTAGTAATGAATCATATTTTCGTAAACCATTTTTATATTTCCCAAAACAACCGGACCGCAAGAAAACCGAACTCAAAAAAACGAACTGAACCGTAGTTGTTTGGTTTTGGTTTTGGTTTTGGTTTTCACATCTCAAAACCGAACTGAAACGAATAAACCAAACTTTTTAAAACTTGTTACTTTATTTATTAATCATTAAGTATAATATTTTATTTAGTTATTAATTCTTAATTCTAGAAAATTAATGTTTGATACTAGATTTATTATGATTTGCAAGATATAAAAATTTAATATTATGGTTTAATTAAGTGAAACACTTGTACAAACACTTAAGTCTATTGCTATAATACTAACATGTTGATATTTTAAATCGTAATTTACATTTTGCTTGTTGTTGCATATATGACAAAAATATTTTGTTGATATATTGTATGTTATGTATGTGTATTATCACCTAATTTTTATATTGAACAAATATGTATTAATATAAACTACACTTTAAACAACATAGCAAAAAAATGTGAAACTTTAGAGCATAAATATCTTTGTATAAAAGAAAGTAGAATAAGTTATTTACTAATAAAATTTTAACTTACGAATACACTGTATATAATTCACAAATAAACTCATGTGTTTAATTAATTTAGAAAATGTTTAAATTGGTATACACGTACTCTCTAATTCATTGTTTGAAAGTGCACTTGTTTCTTCTTTCTTTTAATTATGTATGTTTTTTATTGTATTGCTATTAATAATAGTTTCATGTAGTTTATTGTTTTGTTTTTGTTTTCCAATTACTACTTCTCTAATCAACAAAAATACTTTGGTAAAACTGAAAAAACCGAAACCGAACCAAAATAAACCGAACCAAACAAACCGTGGTTCCAAAATTTTGAGCATAAAACCGAACCGAACTTTTTACTTTGGATCGACATTTGGTTTTAGGTGAAAACCGAACCGTTTGAACCGAACTCGCCCCTATCTGTGGGAAACTAGAACAAAATCTCCCAAGCAAAGCTCTTGTGCTAGGCAACACCTTCAAACCCCATTCAACAAGAAACCTAGTCAAATTCTCCTCTAAAAACACTCGACACCCTTACAAATAGCTGGCAAACAGCAGAAGGTCGTGCACCGTGACATCCGCAGAGCCATCTGGCACCAAATGGGCACACCAGGACAACCACGGGGATGTTACACACCTGATCCCCCTCGAGTCCAGAACGGACCCTCGGCTCATGAGGGAATCGGCGGAGGTCATGTGATGCATGGCCGATTAAAATGACGCGGAACAGACCGTCTACTCGGCGGAAATCGAGCGTATGCCCCCTTCCCCCATTTGATGTATGCAGTCTTTTGGGGACTATACTGGTGAGGCCGAGGCCTCTCCTACCTCGGTTCACACACGAATCGGTGGATCGTTGGGTTCCCGCGACATGGGAGGTCAGGGGTGCTCAGGCGCTTCGAGGCACCGACGACATACTGTGAGGGACCAGACTCCAGTAATTCTCCGCAACAGCACTCAGGATAGGGGGCCAACCCCCACTGTGAGTAATGTGGCCCGCCGTTTCTAATACATTGAGGGTAATGGCAGTCGCATTATCCAAAGGTGAGCGCGACGCAGGACTGGGCCACGCGAAAGCAGAAAAGTCAATCATATATCCCATTGCCCCTCTTCCTACGACACATGAGGCAATGATGATCGACAAAGGCATATCGACGAGTTGAATCGTTTTGTGAACAATACGCTGGTGCAGCCTAGTATCATCCTCACATCTTCTTTCTCTACGAAGATCATGGCCGCCGAAATTCCCCGAGAATGCAGGCTACCGAGCAACTTGATGTATAATGGAGTAGGAGACCCTAAGGCCCACTTGCTCACCTTCTAAGGTGGGCTCATGTTGTTGGGGGCATAAGACGATGTCATTTGCAGGCTATTCTTCAGCACACTCCGAGGGGCATTATAGGAATGGTTCGGCCAGCTGCGGCCCTGAACCATTGACAGCTTTGATGAACTGTCGAGGCAGTTCTTAGCTCAATTTGCTTCCAGCTCCACGCCCAAGAAGCACTTCATCTCCCTCGCAAGCGTCAATTAAGCAGGGCTTCGAGGAGTCCCTCTCCGCGTTTCTAGTCCGATGGAGAGATGAGACGTTAAAGGTTAAGTACCTAACCGAATGCACATGAATTGCCCTCTTTACCAATGCTTTGGTGACGGGGGACCTCTATCAGGGCCTGAAGAGGGATCTGGGGACCAACTATGCTGGGGTGTTGGCCCGCACGCAAAAATAGGCTGCCATTTAGGAGGAGATTGTCTTAAGGGACTAGGCGCCGATAGCCGCATCCCACAAAATGGCGGATAGGTTGGGCCCAAGGCATGTGGACGCCTCCACGGCCAAACGGAAGAAGCCATTCGGCGGGTGTACCCCAAGAGCACATGACCGTTATCCTTACTTCACCCCACTTGCGCTCCTTGTCGCCCAAATATTCGAGAACATCAGGGATCGGGGAATCATCGCTCCTCCCCACTGACGCAGGCATGAAGATGGGGAACCAAGATGCCTTTTGCCAATACCATCGGCAGAAGGGGTGCAAGGGCCTCAAGATAGCCATCAAGGACCTCATCCAGAGGGGTACCTCAGTGAGTATTCAAGGGACCCGCACCGTAGTACCAGGTGTAACACCGGACCTGAATTTTGCTGTGAGAATTTTTTTTCATCAATTACTGGAATAAAGAAGGTAAATCAAGACTAAGAGTAGTCTTGATAAATGAGAAAGTAAAATTATGTCTCAAATTAATAAAGGGTTATTAATTTAGATGTGGAACCACTCGTTATATTCTAAGTTTATTTATAAAATATAATTAATGTTTACCAAAAAGATATTATTATGATAGTAGGGATGGGTCATGGACCCCAGTGATATAAAGAACGACAACTAGACGGGCCAAGCGGGCCGGGGTCACTATCCGATAATTGTGAATCATTAATTATCGGACTGATAATAAATCGGAAGGCTACGAATTAATAACAGAAGGAATATAAATATTTTAAGAACCAAAAATATGGGATGCTGGATAATAATGAGTAACTTGACATATTAGAGGTGGGTACTTTTGGAGGACCCTACCTTAGAGATATTTTCGTATAAGAATAAACAGATAATATTTTATCTGCTTATACGGTCGGGACCACTTAAAAATAAGTGTAACATTTAATTAAAGTGTCACAAAATATGAAAACACATATTTAGTCATTAGGAATGATGGATGAATTTTTAAAGCAACGTGTTCTCATTTTTACTGTTATTTGAACAGTAAAATGCATGTTGGGCCCGCACATGGGCGGGGACCATCCGATATTTACGGATCACATATTATATTCATCTTGGTTTAGTTAATATTTATATGATGGTTTATATTCATGTTTAGCCATAGAGTTGGCCGATTGATCAAATGTGATCCATTGTCGGTATAGGTAATTTATCAGCTAACAGCCCGAAATAAATTCCGGGGACCACTAAATTTAAGTTGGGTAATATATATTCATATTAGATGCCAATATTAATTGGAAGAATGATATATATTTTACTTAACCTGATAAAATAAAATATAATTAAAACAGTCCAGAAATATACAACTTTCGGGGCCGAATGTACATTTCGGGGCTTAAAGGGATGACCTCCCACATGGGTGGGGGCCACCCCACGATTTTGTCAATCAATTAACTCTGGATTGACTCATGTTGGGGATGTGAGACAAAAGAAAATGGGGGAAGGACCGAAGGACCAAACATAATGTGCAATGGGACCATTTCCCATATAATTGAAGAACAAAGCCAAAAAGATTATCATCTCACCCAACCACTCCCAAAATTTCGGCCACACACTCTCAAGGAGGAGGAGGAGCTCTGAAAATATCATCCTCCATAGCTACAACCGAGCTCAAGGTTGAAGAAGGCTCAAGGAAGAAGAAAAGCTTGGAAAAGAAGAGAAAAACTTAGTAAAACTAAGGTAATGATCTCATTAATATTTTTCATCCTTCATTTAATCTCATATGATTTTATAAATCATATGATAGACTCCAAATCTTGTTCTACACTTTTAGAGGTGTAGAATGAGGGTTTGGAAGGTTAAGTTTAACCATGAACGGAGTTATGATTGGAGGAAGACCGGTTCACCGGAAAACACCTTTTTAGAAGGTTTTGACGTTTATACCACTTTTGGTTGTGAAACCTTGTTAGGAATTTTACCAAGGTATTCTAGACTTCTCAAGGAACCTAGGAGTGGCCGGAAAAGTCACCGGAGCCGCCGGAGTTTTTGCCGGAAAATTCAAAAGTCGCCGGAGTTCGAACAGAGAAGATAAAAGCTTTCTAGTGTCATTTCAAGGTGAGTGGACGACTACGTGTCTTGTAACTCTTGGTTCGAAACGTGGTATTACCTAAATAAAATCATAACCATGATTTGAGAAATGATTAAATGTATTAAAATGCATGATTAGTCATGGTGAATATGGCTAATGAAAAAAATAGATTAATTTATTAATTAATCATGAATATATTTTTCTCAAATATATAAGAAGGTATATTTGGACCATGTATGAAACTAACTAGAGTAATGTAGTACATGAATATATGAAGAGATATGTGAACTTGTGATCACCCATACTAAATATGGATTATGGAGATATTATATGATTAATGAAAGAATAGATTAATTTATTAATTAATCATGAGTATATTTTCTTAAATGAATAAAAAGGTATACTTGAACTATGTATGTGATTAACTAGAGTTATATAGTAAGGAAATATAAAAAGGATATGTGATCTTGTGATTTGCCATATTAATTGTGGATTATGGAAATATGACAAAATTAATGATTAATCAATTAATGGTGTGAATAAAAGGTTGTAAGAAAGGATCATGAGCCATGCTTTGGGCTTGGGCATGAGATTACTCAAATAAATCAGAATGATATTCCATGAAATGTTAAAATACATCTAAGAATGTATTAAGGCAATATTTACTTATTAATGGTATTAATAAGTATACTTTATATGCTTTAACTTGGACAGAAAATAATCAAAAATTATGTGTGATGATTTGGACGTCCAAAATGACATTTTTGGACTAAGAATGACTTGTTGTATAAGTGTATAAAATTTCGTGGAAATCGGACTCCGTTTGGATGGTCAAACGGGAGTTGACCGAAGTTATCGGCCATTGACCGGGCGTTGACCGGCGCCGGTTAGGAGACGTTCGGCCCCGGTTCAAAACAGGCGGACTTGGCCGTTAGGAGCAGCAAAGTCCGGCGTCGGTTGGGCAAGATCCGGCGCCGGTTTCGTGAGTTTTTGCCGGCCAAAAGAAGAATGTCCGGCGCCGGTGGACTGAGGTCCGGCGCCGGTTGGAACTGTTTTCTTTGAACAATTAATGCGTGCGTCCGACGCCGGTTGGCTTATGTCTGGCGCCGGTTGGACCTATTTTCCGGATATTAGTACTTATGTTCGGCGCCGCTTAAGCCGTGTCCAATGCGGGTCGGAGCTACTTAATTCCAAACAATGAATTCAAGCGGGTAGTCGGTGCGAGGCTAGCCTGTGGTTTGATAGCTTGAGTTGGGTACCAACTTTAAAATTATATTTGACATATAGTTGACCGAGGGTTATCACAACTAAGGTTGGTAATGTTATTGTTAAGTTTAAATGTCTCGATTAGTACTTCAGGTTCTGGCGGGACCCGACACTAGTTGTATGAGCATGACTTGGACCCGGAGCAGTCCATTCATGGTTTGGGTTAGACGGGAAGCCTTGATAAAGGTTAGCCCTAAGTGGATTTGAGTATGATGATACAAGCTATTTTGCTAAAGAACTTGCACGACAAGATAAGGTAACAAGGGCAAGTGTAGTCCTTGAGGTGTGTTTAACCTCCAGTAAAGTACACATAGGTAACAAGGGCAAGTGTAGTCCTTGAGGTGTGTTTAACCTCCATCAAAGTGCATATAGGTAACAAGGGCAAATGCAGTCCTTGAGGTGTGTTTAACCCCCATCAAATTGCATATAGGTAACAAAGGCAAATGCAGTCCTTGAGGTGTGTTTAACCTCCATCAAATTGCATATAGGTAACAAGGGCAAATGCAGTCCTTGAGGTGTGTTAACCTCCATCGAAGTGCATATAGGTAACAAGGGCCCGTGTAGTCCTTGAGGTGTGTTAACCTCCAGTAAATTACACATAGGATGAGGGTGTATGCGTACTCCTCAAGGCGGGGTTAACCCGGAAATGAAAACTATGATAGCAAGGACGGATAGTCCTCGAGGTGGGTGAACCTCAAGGTAATGATTTTAAATGATTAAACGTGCTTGATCGGGAACGAGTTTCCGATAGGATATTTTCCTTGGTCTAGGAATTGATTTAAACCATGTCCGTGATATGGGAGTCTGAAGGGTCCCACAGTAATTATATTTTGATATCGGGTGAGTTAGCCTGCGGGTGACTCCACTCGAGGGTAAGACATGGGAAGGGTGGATTTAATGAGGCTGTTACGCCTAAATGATTTGAAAGACAAATGGGTCCACGGGCCAGATATTTTACTCATATGTATATATGTATACATTTTGTTTTGAAAAGGGGTAGCTAAGAGTTATGCCCATAATTATACTATCACCCTATTTTGAGGGTCTCACGTGAGAAACGTTAGTTACATTACATACAGTTTGCCCTCAGCAGTACTTTTCTGTAGTACTGATCCCTCGGGGGAACCACCCTTTCAGGTTGAAGCTAGAGCTTACTTCCTGCACCCGTTGCTCGGGAGATCGATGGAGAGAAGACGTGGTTCGTGCTTCCTCTCGTTCTATTTTTAAATAATAAAATAATGCTCATGGAACTATTTTCACTTATAAATTAATGGAGCCTGCGAGCTCTTGTTTTACCCTTGTGTGGGTCTTATTAAACACTTATATTCCGCTATGTGTTTGATTGTATGTTGATGTTGTTATATATGTTTACTAATCGGTTTTGGCATATGTATCTATCGGACGTCTTGTATAATTCAGTGAGGATGAACTGCGGTTATTCTTATTGGGTTGTACGACGGTTGTCCACGTGGCACAGACGCGGTCTGTGGCGTGACACCAGGCGCCCCCATCAGGAAACCGGGGTACTTGGCGTAGGGATGACAAGCGGGAAGCTGAGCCCCACAACATTGATTATCCAAGAGCGGACAAGCGCCCGAGGTTCTCTAGGCCCTTAGGGAAAGGAAAAAATGGAGATCAAGGTGATCTTCGGCAAAGCGGAAACTGGAGATACCACTGTCGATAAGAAGAAATTTGAGTGGGCCCTCTATGTAGTTTTCGTGTCCGCTCTGCCCCCCGAGAGAAACAAGATCGAGCCCATCACCTTTGGCCCGGCGGATCTGCCAAACTCCCCAGGACCACATCACGATGAGTTGGTCATCAACATTGAAATAAAAAATGTCATTGTAAGGTGGCTCATGATGGACACCTCCTTGATGTTGAGGGAGCAATCTCCTTGCCGGTAGAGATTGGCGATGGCCCTCACCGTCCGACATTCCCCATGACCTTTGTGGTTGTCAGCTTGGAATGCGCCCATAACGCAAACCTCAGTTGTCCGGGTTTGCAGGACCTGGAAGCCATTGCTTCCGTGCGGCAGTCCTACATCAAATTCCCTACTAAGACAGGGTAGGGGTGGCCCGCATGGATCCACACACCGCGAGGATGTACGACCCGAGAGGCCAAGAAGAAGGTTAATGCCTACGACATGCGGGTAAATAACATTGCAGAGTCCGCCCGCCGCGCTGACATATAGCCCGCCCGGAGCCGGCTATGCTGCTAGAGGAGGTTCAATTGGTCGACCCCTTGGACAGGAAAATATCAATTGACATTGATCCCATGCAAGCCCGCTTAACTTGGAGGACACTATTAATCCTTTTAAATTAATCCCAAAGTATTATATTCTATCTCCGTACAAAGCTCCTACATTCATAGCATACAAAGGCATTGTTTGAAGCACATTTTTCAACAAAACTTTTCTACCTTGCCTTCGATAGGAATTTACTATTCCAACCTTGCACCTGCTTCAATATATGTTCCAACAAGCATCCCAATGTCTATGATTTTCTTCTACTGTCAAGTGATGGTAGCCCCAAGTATTTGGATCTGGCAGCAACCATGGAAACTCCAAGAGAATCATAAATCCTTTCCCCAACTAGTGCTGGAGTATTCAAATTAAACGAAATCGAAGACTTCACAACATCAATCTTATGTCCAGATTGTGTAGCATATGCATTAAACACGTTTTTAATAACATTGCACTCATTTTCACGAGCTTTGAAATACAGGAAAAAAAACATCCACGAACAAAAGATAGAACACACTAGAGGCTCCCTTTGCAATAAAGCAACTCCGTGAATATCACCCGCTTCTCGTGTTGTCTGATATGGGGATAAAGGATCTCCCTGTCCAAGGCATCATTGCAGGGTTATAGGCCCCAAAGAAGTACCCTTCAAAGGGAATTAAATAATCCACAGTCTAAACAAACTCATGTATCGAACTGGTCCACCTTGGTGTAGAATTCATTGCTTCCATCATATGAGACGAAAAAAATCATTCAACTCTCATATGATTTAATTATATCAGGTTTCAATTTAACAAAAACCTCCTTACATTGAGTCTTTCTGCTTCAAACAATGCCAAGTCTCAAAAGTGATCAATATATTATCCATTATAGATCTCCCTCCGATGAAAGCACTCTTATTTGTAGCAACCAGATTCCCCCTTAAGTCAAGCCATTAGCTTTGTGATGATTTTATAGATCACACTGCATAAAGTAATAGGTTGTCAATCTCCCAATAATATTAACTTGATAGTGACATTATGACTTCATAACAACAATATATGTAATGTTAAGTGGTATTCAGATATTAGGATGTTTTCTTTTGGACTGAAATTTGTTGGTCTGATCTGTTCTGTTTAAGTCTAGTATGGTATGGTATGGTCTGAATTGATCTGGTCTAGTCTGGGATTGAAAAGTTTATCCGACCACTTCAACTAGAACTTCATAAATTTCAGCATAATCGGTCAATATAGTTGATTTGAGTATTAGAAGGAGGACTCGTCGAAAGTATAAGTGTTTTTTTAAATAAGAACATTATTTTTACTTTTTACATTGAATCATGCTTTACTACCTAAACACTATAGAAAAGTTTCAAAAGTATATTCATATTTCTACACTTTGATCATATTTTAGTTCTAAATTTTGAGTCTTTTTTAACGATAACAACTTGCGGTGCTCCACACGTCATGCTCCTCTCTAAACACTGGAAGTCTGGAATGAAGTAAAAAGCAGAGCTTTCCATACACATACAGCAGTGAAAATGCTAGATAGGGTGCTTTCGTCACGAAGAGCCGTTGGATTGATGAACGATGATGATGAGGGTGGCAATGGCGGAGACGAATCCAAGACCCGGAAGCACACCTTCGTCCCAATGCGTCTCATAAACTACCTGACCCGAACCGGTTACATCTGGCCCTGCCTCCTCATAGCCCTCATCGTCGTCGTAATCACTTCGTTCATCCTCCGGACTCGCGATTTGGTCTGCATATCCGCATCCTCTTCTGAACACATTTCCCGCTTGCAATTCTTCGGATTCAACGGCCTCGAAACAGATTTTGGATCTCTCGGTGTCCCCTGGTGTAAAGCCCCTCCCTTTTTCTCCTTCCTGTCTCTCTATGTGCTCTCTGATCTGGATATTAAGTTGTTAAATTTTTAGCAGTATCTATTACTCCGTACTTTAGACAGAAATGAACGGACTTGACTTTTAATAACTCGTGAAATGTAATTTTTCTGTTTGATTCGCTTATTGATGATCAGATCTAGATGGATGTGGCTGAACTTTGTGGTCAGCTAGGTTCTATTACTGACGATTTTGTTACCTTATGGCGTTTTAATGATGTTGATGTTCAATGCAGAGTACAATTTGTTGTTGGAAAATTTTAATAAAAGATTATACCAAAGTTTGAAAAGCATAAAACGAATTCGTGGATTGCATCTAGCTTTTAGCTTCCCAGTTGGTCAGTTGCTCTAGGTAGCATGATGCAATGCATTTACAATCGCTATACATGTAAATAGTCGCTCCTTTCATTTCATGTGAAAAAGGGAAATGAAATGAAATGAAATTTCAAAACTATAAAAATTTTCCTTTCTTGATTGTCAAAGACACTTTACATTGGTTCAACTAATTTGCGATATTTGGCTATGGTTTTCTATAGTCCAATATACCCTTTAATTGTTATCCTTTCTCTAAAGGCAGATCGAAACATGGCAAAACTGTTGAGTGGACCATGAAAGATTTACTTCAAGGTTTGGAGGAGTTTGTGCCAATATATGAAACACGCCCCATCAAGAACAACATGTATGGCATGGGATTTGACCATAGTTTTGGTCTATGGTTTATCACCAGATGGTTGAAACCCGACTTGATGATTGAGAGTGGTGCTTTTAAGGGACACTCGACCTGGGTTTTGAGACAAGCAATGCCAAACACACCAATCATTTCTCTGACTCCTCGTCATCCCTTGAGGTATCTTAAGAAGGGACCTGCTTATGTTGATGGAAATTGCACATACTTTGCCGGAAAAGATTTTGTTGACTTTGGAAGTGTTGATTGGGAAGTAGTTCTTAAGAAACATGGAGTAAAAGATATTAGTCAAGTTATTGTCTTTTTCGATGACCATCAGAATGAATTGAAAAGGTATCCTTGCCATTGGGGAATAATCTGAGTAAACTTCTCACTCATTTTTCATATTGTTCTTTAAGTACTAATCAGTTTTTTTTGTATTGTTATTTGATTTGTAGATTAAAGCAAGCACTTAAGGCTGGATTCAAGCATCTTGTTTTTGAGGACAATTACGATACTGGTACAGGAGATCATTATTCCTTGAGGCAGATATGTGACCAGTTCTATATAATGGGTATGCCTCATATGTGATGTATATGTAGGCTGGTTGTATATTGACACTGACATTTTAGATGTATAGTAAATGATACTTCATATAACATCAGGCATGCATATCAGAACTTAGAACTTGTTTTGTTTGCCTGAAAATATATGATACTCCCCTTAATCTGATTTTTAAAGATCTGGTCAGAACCTTTTTGGTTTACTCTGATTAGATCTAAATCTTTATGGTCTTACATACATATTTCTCATTTTTGTTATGTCTGATCAGAATGCTTTTATCTTTTATAATTTTCTGGTCTGAAAGGGAGCCTTGGCGCACCAGTTAACGTGTTGCTGGGTCACGGCTCAAGTCTTGGGAGCAGCCTCTTACAATTTTGATAGGGGAAGGGCTGCCCCTTATACACTTGTGGCGGGACCCTTACCCAGACTCTTGCCTTTCGAGGATGCCTTTGTGCATCGGGCTGCCCTATAATTTTCTCGTCTGAACTTTGGAGTATAGTAACATTGATGTCTAATCACAAACCTTTGTGGTCTGATGTGGATGGCTCTGTTGTGATCTGATAAAAATAAGAATAAATAATAGGTAAAAAGGGTGAATGGAATAACACCTTATTTACTCAATTTTGTCGCATGTGCCATCTCTAGTTGTATATCTTATAATACAGTCAAGACTCATTGCTTTTTCATATCATTTTTCCTCTGCAGGTGGTGGCCACAGTTGCTTCTTGGAAAGCGATGAAGCTAAGATAAGATCAAGAAGGAAGAAATTCTGGGAAAAGGCAGTTGACACGGAGGAACTTTGTGGGCCAGCTGAAGCATGGTGGGGTGTGAGAGGTGAAATGCGGGATGACTTTAGTAAACGCAATAAGGCAATCACTTACAATGAGCATTTTCAAAACAGCAGATTCGTAGAATCAGTACTTGATATATACTGGGAACTACCCCCTGTAGCAGGTCCTTCGTTAACTCATCAAAGGAGATATGATCCAGCTCGTTCGTCACCTCCCATTGTGGAAGATGGCAGGTATGGATTGTTTCAGAGACTGGGGTTATCTAGGCTCGAGACTTCTGTATTTAATGGGTATACACAAATGGTCTACCTTCAAGTGTCTCCACAAGAATCTTAGCTTCCTTATTTCCCCCCTCCCTCCAAATTTCTTCTTCGTTTTGGATGTACCTTCTGAAATAGGTACTAATTGACACCTATTTTTGCAAGTTTGGTCCTACTGTCTATATTTTGTACAATTGACACCTTTTTTCCAGTTGCTAATGGCTTTTATCGAAATAAAAGTAGTTGAAAACATGATAAGTAGTTTAACGGGGCAAATCATCACTCAAAATGTCACTTTTGTAAGGTGATTAAACTTAATTTGGCTGTAACTAAATGACGGTTCAAGATTAGTTTCTTTTAAGATTTAAAGAACCGATACAATTGCAAATACATTTGTATACCAACCGTTATGGTTCAGGAATTCAAGATAGTTGGTTCCATTCAGTTTTATTTATAATTTATAAAAATAAATAGAACTCCGTAACATATAAATTAACAGCTACACATCGAAATTTAAAAGTTCTTTTTATGAATTAAATACCAATGAAGCAAAAGCATGTTTTCCCATCAAAATTATTTATCTAGTCATAACTCATAAATTGTAAAACCAAAGTAACAGTGAATCTGAAATACATCAGTAATTGCAAATGTATGAAATAAAAAAAAGAGCAATTGTTCTTTGAGAATCTCTCGTCTTTTTTTCAGTAATATTTACTAAGTGTCAATTTGATACTTCGGTTTGTCTTTGGTAGAGTAAAGAATATACTAGTATGAGCTTACATAGAAACTCATAAAGTATTCCAATTTGTCTTTGATGGAATAAAGGTATACATACAAGTCATTCAATAAATAAAAATTTTTGGGAGTCAAGTAAATAAATAAAAATTAAAGGGAAAGTTCCCGAAATGGGACTAAAAAAGTTCGAAAATTTCAAAATAGGACTGTCATTTTTTTATTCCCAAAATAGGACTAATTACTGCCAAATTTGGAAAATACTGTCATGTTTGAAGTCTGGTACTGCCAAAACATGACAGTAATTAGTCTTATTTTGAGAATAAAAACATGAAAGTCCTATTTTGGAATTTTCAAACTTTTTTAGTCCCATTTTGGGTAATATCTCAAAATTAAATAACGTCACGGCCAATACAAATTAATTAAAGTACGTGCATGATCAGGCTACATGCATTTTAATTTATAATGGCGCATTAGATATTCTAAAAGAGTGGAATAAATATATATATTTGTTAAAATATAAATCATAATCGGAAGCGATATAATATATGGTACGTTCGTACCTCTTTATTGCTATCCTGCTCGGCTTTGGTGGTAAAAGAGTGGAATAAATATATACTCCCTCCGTAACTTAAAAATCTTCCCACTTTCCTTTTTCGTCCGTAACACAAAAATCTTCCCATTTCTAAATTTTCCCATCATACCCTCAATAATTCTTAAAATAATACACTATTACAACTACTTTTTTTGGATTTATCCTACATTCCACCACATTATTCCACTATTTTCCCATCATACCCTCAATAATTCATATCATCTTTCACTATTCTTAATCTACCTACTTTTGAAATGAGAAGATTCTAAAGTTAAGGAGGGAGTATATTGGTTAAAATGGCGCATTAGATATTCTAAAAGAGTGGAATAAATATATATATATTTGTTAAAATAATTCATAATCGGAAGCGATATAATATATGGTACGTTCGTACCTCTTTATTGAACCAAGTCTCCATGTAAGAACACATCTCAGTTTTTTCATGTAAGCCAGGTACACCATGGATTGCCTAAGAATTTACCCTTCCCATACCGGCTTGATGTCATTCCTTATGTGAAATTACTCTAAGGTGGCCATTGGCGGTAATTTGAGAAGACTTGGTTCATATGTTGAATTGTCTTTCCTTAGTTAGGGGTGGACTCAGGCCGGGCGGCTCGACCCGGAACCGCCCCAGCCCGCCCACTGTAGCAACCGGCCTGGCCCGGTCCGGTGGCCTGGTCCCCCGGCGGTTCGGGTCGAACCGGCCCGGTGGATACCGGTTCCGGGCCCGGGCCCTCCATTTGGTGAACCGGCCCGGCCGGTTCGGGCCCGGTCCGGGCCGGATTTTTTTTTTTTGAATTTTTTTTGAGTTTTGGGTTGGATTAGGTATTTTGGGCCATTTGAGGTGGTTTGGGGTGGTTTGGGGTTGAGGGGGAGGGGGTAGGGGGTTAAATAAGAGAAGCAAAAAAAAGGGCGGGTGAACCGGGCCGGTCTGGCCCGGAACCGGTCACCGCCGGTTCGGGCTCGGGCCTCCCTTACCTTGAACCGAGGCCCGGCCGGTTCAAGGCCCGAACCGGGCCCGATCCGGAACCGGTCCACCCCTATCCTTAGTGCCTTAACGTATCTGATTATATCAACTATATATTAGTCAGTGGCAGAGCCAAAATTATTGTGTTAGTGGAAGGGTTAGAGTTAGAAGAATTACACTACTCAATTACTCTTATTTCAGCATATTTTAGGGCTGGTTGTCTTTATTTGGCCAGCTCGCTTTTTTCTCAGTTCGGTTACGTAAATTGCAAAAAAGGAAAACTAAACCTCATAACTTTAGCGGATTTTGGCTATTTTCAGTCAGCTTGTTTTGATTTTGGTTCATTATTTTCAGTCAGTTTGTGTTTGTTTTGGTCTAATGATTAATTTATATTTTGAGATCAAATGCTTCTAAATTCGTGCTTTTCTTCAAAATATAGTTTGTGTGCAATCTTAAGAGTAATTTGATGTTTTGATTTGGTCTAATTCTTCTTCCTGCTGCCAAATTGAAGATGAAAATCTTTGTCTTTTATAAGTTGACATGCATATAATGTTAAATAATAGAGGAAGTATCAAACACCCTAATGATTCAGCAGCTTCATCCAAGCTTCTAACTTTTGATCTCATTTGGAATCTTTCACCAAAGTCTTTTAAAAATCAAATTTTAAATCAACTCCCCAAAAGGGTAGCACATTAACATTGAGATTTATTATTACGAAGCTTTTTTTTTAACTCAGATACAAATAGCATGAAGCCTTGAAATTTGAAAGATAACCAAATCTTTACATACAATACATATACAAAATTATAAGGAGGAATGAGAGTAAGGTCATTTTAGGTATGAAAAATGTGTCGGTGTAATCACATGTAATATGAACTTGTACTTTGCACTAACATTATTGTATACCTAATCGATCCAACTCTTGTTATACCAGGAGTATCCCAACGTTCCGTTAACTTTACAACATGATCCGTCCAGCTCTTGCTTTTCATCTTCTCGACTAGATGTTTTATTTTATTTTATGCTTTGAGTTTGACCATAAAGCGGAAGTGAATGAGATGTCGATAATAGTATTTGAATCCTATAGGATTGTACACAAATAAGAACAGCCCCCACATCGTATTTGAATCCTATAGGATCGTACACTAATAAATTTGTAAAACAAATTCTAAACTATAGTAGAAATTAATTTTGATTTGAATCGCATTCAAAATTGTAAACTCATAAACTGTACAAAATCGTAATAGAATCATAAAAAATTGTTTGAAATCATGGTAAAATTGAAATTCAATCATGGTGATGCGTTGATAACTTTCCCCACGAGGCAGAGGCTTTAGCCATGCGGGAAGCAATTAATTGGATCAAATGTGAAGGGTGGGAAGAACTCGAGGCTGAATCTGATGCGGCTCAACTCGTTACATCCATACGGGAAGGGCCTGATAATTCATCTTTTGGCTTGATTGTTGGCGATATTATAGAGCTATCAACTAGTTTTACTAGTATTAGTTTTGCTCACGTGAGGCGGTCAGCGAATAGGGTAGCCCATGAGTTAGCTAGGGTAGCCTGTTCTTTGTCTGATTGCCATGTTTAGAAAAATTCTCCTCCTTCATGTATCTTGTCTTCTTTGAACTTTGATTTGATAAATAATAGCTAGCTGAGTTTTCATAAAAAAAAAAGAATGTAAGATGTGTAATTTTTTTATTGAAAGTAATTATACTTGTATTATATAACTATTTTGTGTTATAGATATGCATAATGTTTATTATTCACTTCACTTACATTATAAAAATAGTTTATAAATCTTGTTTAATTTATGACCTCATATATATGTTAGTTTTAAATAATGAGGCGACCTATTATATATTATTAATTTTTAGCTTTGTTGTACTATTTATTTCCTTTGTAATTATTAATATATGTTTCATATTTTTCATAACCCGGTGATATTCCACTACCCGAGGGTAGTGGGTTAGCTTAGGGTCAAGGAACACCCTATCAGTTTATTAAATAAAAGGATGTAGTACAAAGAGTGGGAGGATCAAATCAAAGCCTACTCAGATTAAAGATCGAACAATCGGGTATTTAACAAAATCGTATTTAAGAATACCAATAAAATGAGTTCGTATATCGTGGGATCATCCCACGATGAGAACCATGCTCCCCGTGAAATGAAGTTGATGTACCATCACATTTTATAATAAAATTAATTTTGTCAAACCCCATAAATCCAATACATAACATTTTCACTAATTTATCACATGTTTCGTGATTGTTAAGTTAACAACATTTTAAAATATGTTCCAAGTGAAATATTACAAATGTTAAACATTTTTTAAAAAAAATAAAAATAATTTTATAAAACATCTCATATTTTAACATGTTCCCATTTTTAAACAATTTAAACTAAAAATTAACAAATTATTTAATCATCTTTCCTAAGTTATCCATCTATATTTGAAGATGTACTATCACTCCATCATTAAAACAAGTTTAAGTACTTTCATAGCTTTGACTTAAGTTATTGCACTCCTATTCCACCAGAAAGAAGTTGAAATGCATTTTTAGTTCAATATCAAATGATATTTTATCGAATATTAAAACTTGACACGGACCATTTTAGTTCAAAAATAAAAGGGAAATTACACTAATAGGACTTCTAAGAAAAAATTATGTTTTTACTACGGCTAGAAAAAAAATCGAACATCTCTGGAGTTAAAAAATGGAAACTAATAATCCAACCTTTTAGCGGTCTTCTTTCAATAATCTCACCTTTTGATTATTCATGAATAATCCAACCTTTGCACCTCATCTTCATTCGTTGGTCCCTGGTCGGTTAATGACCTACTATTCCAAGTTATTTTCTTATCTTTGCAAAATATTATCTTTGTGAAAGATGAGATTTATGGTATAATGATTGGCAAAGATAAGAAAATAGCTTGGAATAGCAGGTCATCAACTGGTCAGGGACCAGTGAATGAA